ATAGATAATAGATGTCACAATATATTAAGCATTACATTTCATGCTATCATTTAATACAAATAAATTTTTTTTTATCTATACTCATATACTTGTTAATTTATTTTATTAAAAAAATAAAATTTTGAATTTTTTTTATAAATATTTAATGAATATTACTAGTTAACTAATTGCCATTTAATATACTAGTAGACAATAATTTAATAATAATAATAATATATATATTATTGAAAAATTAATTGCCATATTTTTAGCATATAATGTACAGATTTATAGGTAAATATAATTTAAACTTTAATTTTTATTTATTTTTTAAACCGATTAAATATTATATATATATATATATATATATATATATATATATATAATATTATATTATACAATTAGATAAACAAATTACAATAGTTTTTTACAATTTTTTTTTAAATAATAATTATTATATACAATGTTTACTAATAATACTAATAATAATATTGTTAGTGATAGTAAATTATTAGTTAAAGAAAAAAAAATTAAAATTAAAATATTTAAAAATACTTGAAAATACTAGAATAATATTTTTTAAAATAATTTATCTAATAGTTATTTTTTACATAATTATTATTATTTTTTTAAATAAAAAGTTTATTTTCAATATAAATATAATAGTTTTCATAAACATTAATTTATTCAAAAAATTTTTATGTGTTTAATAAACTTAGATATAAATAAGTTTATTAAATATTTTCATAATGAAAATATAAATAAATGTCATCATAAATAATTAAAAACTATTTTTTCTATATAATCCAAAAAAATAACATTATATTAAGTTTTAATATTAAAATTATATTAATTTATAAATTTTTTTAATAAATGTTTGCCTTAAAAAACATTAAATTTTCAAAAAATCAATATTTAAATATAACATAAACTCTAACATTTTAATTATAGTAATAAAAAATAATATAATAAAAAATATTCAATAATTTCATCACCAAAATGATAATATTATAATATTTATATAAATAACAAAAAATATTAGCAACTTTAATATTATAAATTAAATATTGATTACATTAGATTACAATAAATACAAGTTTATTAAAAATTTTTATGTAAGTTAGTAAATGCTTATGTTATTATGAAATAATTTTTTTGAAAAAAATAATAATATTTGAGAGCCTAAATTATGTATAAATTATTTAGTTATTTATAAAAGTAAAAAAACTAATTAAAATATATAATAAAATTTAATGTTTTATTTTTCTTATATATATATATAAGAAAAATATCTTTATATAGGAATAGGTTTAGAATTTAGAAAAACAAAATTACAATAGTTTTTATTTAAAACATTTTTTTGTAATATTTATATATAATATAATATTTTTTATATACAATGTTTACTACTAATAATTATATTAATAATATTGTTAGCGATAGTAAATTATTACTAAATTATTTTCTATACTTTTTGTTTAGTTATCTAGTTTATAAATTAGTTGAATTTTATTATAATGTATTTTTCAAATTGCCACCAGGTCCACTACCATTGCCATTGTTGGGCAATAATCTATGTAATTATTATTATTTATTAAACGAAATAATTTATTTATTTAAACCTAATTATTTTATCAACCAAAAAAAAAATCTATAATTAATTAAATTAAATCTTATTTATTATTATTAATTAAAATAATTATATGTAAGTGTTTTGGAAAACGGGTCATATCGACAATGTTATGCACAAATTGGCCGATAAATATGGTCCAGTATTTACTGTACATATAGGTTGGACACCGCAAGTAATTGTCGCGGATCTGGCAATTGGCAAACAAGTATTCAGACAACGAATTTTTAATGGACGACCCAATGTTTTTTTAAGTAAGTGTGTGTATGTGTTTGTATGTGTGTGTGTATGTGTGTGAATGTACGTGTGTGTATGTATGTGTGTGTAAGTGTGATGTTTGTGTATGTGTATCTATGTATTTATGTATGTACTGGTATAATATGTATATGTGTGTGTATGTATGTGTGTGTGTGTGTGTGTGTGTGTGTGTGTGTGTGTGTATATATGTCTGTATGAATGTATATGTGTGTGTATGTGTGTATATATGTCTGTATGAATGTATATGTGTGTGTATGTGTGTATATATGTCTGTATGAATGTATATATGTGTGTATGTGTGTATATATGTCTGTATGAATGTATATGTGTGTGTATGTGGGTGTGTGTGTATGTGTGTATATGTTTGTGTATGTATGGATGTGTAGAAATAGAGAGAAAAGAGAGAGAAATAAAGTAAATATAAGAGGTTTTTAGAGAAAAAGGTTTATTACTTTATATATAAAATAATATAATATATATATTAATAATATATATATTAATAATATATATATATATATATACAGTATAAACAAAAATAAACTACTATTTTAGCTTTTTTAGATGTTTAATTATTTATAAATGTTTCTACTAGTAATGTTTAATTGCATATAACATGAATTTTTATAATCTATATTTTAAGCACAATTAAGATTTTTTTTTTAATTTATAATAATATTACAGTATAAAATAATCATTTAATATAGAGTTAATTATATATTGTTTGAAAACTAATCTTAGTTTTTTAGCAAAAAAAAATAAATAAATTGTTTTTTTAAAAACTTACATTCAATATATACTTTAGATAATTGAATAATATATAAATTATTTTTATTAAATTTATTATTAATTTAAAAAAACAAAAATCTATACTTTCAGCACAATTATACGCTACTAAAGAGTTTGGAGATATCGGTGCCTCTGATTATGATAAGCGATGGGTTGCACTGAGACGTGTCGGACACAAAGCTATAGTGTAATAATAATAATAATAATAATAATTAAATTTTTTAGTTTAATTAATTAATTTTTTTTAATTATTTAATTTTTTTTATTAATTTGTTTAGAAATTATTCAACAAATAACAGATACGTTCAAACAGTTTGCGATTGCGTTGATTCAACAATACTTGCGATCAGCGAAACTGAATCTGTAAAACCATTTCAACCAAACGGTTATCTATTTTTAATGTCAATGAATATCATAAACAATACACTGTTTAGAAAATCGTATGTAACTTATTATTTAGTAATTAAAAATTAATTAATTTATTAATTTTAATTAATTTATTAATTTTAATTTATTTATTAATTTTAATTTATTTATTAATTTTAATTTATTTATTAATTTTAATTTATTTATTAATTTTAATTTATTTATTAATTTTAATTTATTTATTAATTTTAATTTATTTATTAATTTTAATTTATTTATTAATTTTAATTTATTTATTAATTTTAATTTATTTATTAATTTTAATTTATTTATTAATTTTAATTTATTTTTTAATTTTATTTTTTTTTTTAAAAGTATTGGTCTAACAGATGATGAATATTCGTTAACAAAATTATTTTCACGCGATATTATCAGTGAATTGGGTTCATTGCGTATACTATTGGACGTATCGCCGGTGTTTAGTTGGCTATTGCCGGGTACGGCCAACAAACTGTTGGATCATATCCGACAGTTCAATGATTTGGTTTATAAAAAATTTATGTTACACTACAATAATAATAACGATGATGATGATAATGATGGTCAGTTAGCTAATAGTAGTGATAACGCGGGAACGGCTAGTAGTAGTAGTAGTAGTAGTAGTAGTGATAATAACAATGACGATAATGTCGATCTATGCGATTCGCTAATACAGGCCAAACGGGACGGTATACGCGATAATAAACAGTGGTCACAATATTTAACCGATAAAAATCTATCGCTAATCGTTTCAAACCTGTACGATACGGGTGTCCTGACGTTTGACGACACTACCCAATGGATGCTACTGTTGATGACATACTATCCCCGATGTCAGCTTAGGTTACGCACTGAAATTATGGATAATATTGGTGGTCGACAACGATTGCCCAGACATGACGATCGACAACAATGTCATTATGTTATGGCATTTATTGCCGAAACGTTGCGTTTTGTTAGTCTATTCAGTTTCTATCATAAGTCTATGGAAATAAGTACTATAGGTATGTATTGTTTTTTTTATTTGTTTGAAAAAAATATAATTAATTATTTTACACATACTGTATATATATATACATACATTTATATATATATATATATATATATATATATATATATATATATGCATACAATTACATATACATACAATTACATATATATAAAATTACATATACATACAATTACATATATATAAAATTACATATACATACAATTACATATATATAAAATTACATATACATACAATTACATATACATACAATTACATATACATACACTTATATATATACATACAATTACATATATATAAAATTACATATACATACAATTACATATATATAAAATTACATATACATACAATTACATATATATAAAATTACATATACATACAATTACATATACATACAATTACATATACATACACTTATATATATGCATACAATTACATATACATACAATTACATATATATAAAATTACATATACATACAATTACATATATATAAAATTACATATACATACAATTACATATATATAAAATTACATATACATACAATTACATATACATACAATTACATATACATACACTTATATATATGCATACAATTACATATACATACAATTACATATATATAAAATTACATATACATACAATTACATATATATAAAATTACATATACATACAATTACATATATATAAAATTACATATACATACAATTACATATACATACAATTACATATACATACAATTACATATACATACAATTACATATACATACACTTATATATATGCATACAATTACATATACATACAATTACATATATATAAAATTACATATACATACAATTACATATATATATAATTATATATACATACAATTACATATATGTATACAATTACATATACATAGAATTACATATACATAGAATTACATATACATACACTTATATATATGCATACAATTACATATACATACAATTACATATATATAAAATTACATATACATACAATTACATATATATACAATTATATATACATACAATTACATATACAGTACATTAATTTACATATACTTATACAAACAAACAAACAAAATACATATACACACATCTAAATAGATAAATTTAAAAGAAAAATTAATTACAATTTTTTTTAAACCAAAAAAAATACATTTATATATAACCAATACTTTAGACAAGTATACCATACCTAAGGGTACATCATTGATTATCTATCTACGCTATATAATGCACAATAAAACTAACTGGCCAAACAGTGATCAATTTCAACCGGAACGTTTTATCGATCCCGAAACCGGCCACTATATGGCCAATCGTTTACCACAGTTTGTACCGTTTGGTATAGGTGCCCGACAGTGTGTGGCCGAAAAATTGACAATTGCCGGCCTGTTTCTAGTTTGTGTCAGATTTATACAGTCTACCAAACAGATAGTATTGTCCGATAGTCAGGGTATTGGCGGACATCCCGGTAATTCGGAACGATATGTTCCCTATCCCTATAAGCTAGTAATTGAGCCTAATTTATAAAAACAAAATTTTTATTAATTTTTTTTATATATATAAATTATTAATTAAAATAATTTTTTTTATTTAACAAAAACAAAAATCATTATTATTTATTTCTAAAAAAAAAAAATAATTTGCTATAGAATTACTATTATAATTAATTTTATTTTTAAAACATTTTAAAATTATTATTTTATAAAAACAAATATTTAACTAAAAAAATTAGTTATGAAAAATGTTACAGTTATTGTTTTGTTTTGAATTTTTTTTGTTATTTTGTTAAATCTTAATAAACTTTTAAACAATTTTTTTTGTTGTTATTAAAAAATAGAAATCAAAATAATATATTTTTATGATTAAAAATTTTTTGTTTTAATATTTTCGTATTTTGTTAGTTTTTTAAAATTAAAATTAATTAATTAATTAAAAACAAAATTTTTGCTTATGATTTAATTAACTTTAATTAACTTAACATTATTATTATAAATTAAAACATTTATTTATTTATCAAGCTCCTTTTCGATAGTTAGTTCAGCTAGCTCAATTTGATCGACCAATCGATTGTTAGCTTGAACATAATCAATCAATGTATTAACCAACAATACTAGACGTTCACGTTTTTCCCGTACGGCTATTACCCGATCCTGTTTGCCATCACGTGTCCATACAATGATTTTATCATCAATACGTTTAACCAATCTACTGTAGGTGTCCATAAATTGGCCAGTAGCCTTACAAAATTTTCTACCTGGACCCACAGTAGTACTACCGGTGCTTAATGTTGTAGTAGTTGATGGTCGACGGGTAGTTGTTGTTGTTGTTGGCCACTCTATTTGCTCTAAACCGTCCAATAGTTTAACAACTGTATCGATCAATTGATTTAATTGGACAGTAATTTCTGAAATTTCATCAATAGTCGATGCTTTAGACAATCGGGCATAAAGATACCGGAGGTCGGACTCGTAGCCGCTAAGTGTGGCCAGATCTTGGCGACTAATTTCGGGATTATCCTCAAACAGATTCAAATCATAATCCACACGTTCTATTAGTTTATAGGTTTTCAATAATAGGTCATCTGGCGATGCTGATGATGATAATGCTAGTTAAGTGATTTAAAAAAAAGCAAAATATTAATACATTAATAAATAAATTTATTTAAAAAAAACTATTTAAACAAAACATGTAATAATAATAATTATTGGTATTATTTTTTAAAATAAAAAAAATTATATATATTTTACATACAACTATAGATAAAGACTAGAATTAGTAGTATAGTTGAAATAATTGTTAAAAAATTCATTATTATTATTATTATTGTTTTAGTTAGTATTATATAATTTATTAGTTTTCTTCAATAATAATTGATATTTATATATAAAGTTATTTTTGTTGTAATATTAATATTATTTTTATGAACTTGAAAAAAACTTGAATTTATTTTTTTTATCTGTATATTGGACCAATAAAAACAATATATCGATATTTATATACTGTATTAAAATGTTAATGTACTTTACATTTTATAATAATAATAATTATTATTATTATTTAATTTCAACAATATATGATAAATATATTATTGTATAAATCAAAGGTTATTTACTGTATGTTTTTCTAGAGTTTTTTTGTTGTTGCTAACTATCAATACTTTAATTATTTTTTTTTTTGATTTACTTTAGAAGTATAATTATAAAAACAAAAAATTACTTTAAGTTAAAAAAAAGATAATTAGATTTTTAAAAAAATATTTATTTAAGAATATATTTATTTATTTATAAAATTTATAAAATTATTAATATTGTATAAATACTTTCCAAATTATAAATAATGTAAATATATAATAGTATATATATATATATATATATGCTATTTAAATATATATATATTAATATTAAATATATTATGATATAAGATATAAATATACATGTATATATATATATATATATAAATTTAAAAAAATATTTTATCTTTTATATATATAGTATAATCAATTTAATAAATATTATTTAATTAAATAGTAAAATAATTGCATTAATAGTATTATAATTTTTATATATATTTATATATATCTTTAATAATTATAAACAATTAAAAATATTTCTATATTTATTTTTTAATACAGTATATAAATCTCAAAGATAATAAACTCAAAATAATATAATAATTTTTTACTAATAATATAATAATAATTATATATTTTAAAAAAAAAATCTTTAAGTACTTCAAAGGTTAGATTAGATAAAAACAGAAAATCTAAAAAAATATAGTATAAAAAGTAAAGTTATTTTTAGTCAATTTTAATTATATCAGGCACAATTTTAGTGATAATTATAAAAAATATAGATTAATAACAAAACAAAAACATATAGTTTATATTAAATTTTATATTAATATGTTGCAAAAATTATAACAATAAAAAAATTATTGTAATTGAAAAATATTTATCAAAATAGTAGTTTTGATAATTAGAAAAAAATAAGTGTAAATCTTTAAATTATTAATATTATTTAATAATAATAATTATTATTATTTAAATAATCGACAGTTTAAACAACTATAAAATTTTATTTTCTATTAAATCTTAATTAATTAAAAGACTTTAACTATTTAAATTTAAATAAGTTAATTGAAAAAAATAATAGATTTATTGCACTAAACTAGCATAAAATTTTGTAATTTATATAAATAATAATAATAATAATACTAAAATAAATTTCTTAATAATTAATTATAAATTGTTGATGATAAGTTTTTTTTTTGTTAAGTGTATCAGATGATTTTTTTTAATTAATTAGATAATAACAATAGTTTTAGAAAATACTGGTATAATATAAAATACATTATAACTGTAATATTTTATTTATTTAAAAAAAATTATTGTTATTAAAAAACTGTTATTTTTTAGATAAATATATATATATTTTTAAAAACATTTATTAAAATTCTATACATAGTGTAATATAATTTTTCTAAAAAAAAATGTGGTGGCCAGTTAGTTTTTTATTATTAGTGCTCTATTGTTGGTCAATTCAGGCCTACAATAGCTACCCGTTTAGTGGCCACCTAAGCGAACCGGTACTGGAAAATGGCACCCGTTGGGTGGTATTGGCTGCTGGCGGTACCGGTTGGGGTAACTATAGACATCAGGTAATGATTTACATACACATACACATGCGCATACACATACACATACACATACACATACACATACACATACACATACACATACACATACACATACACATACACATACACATACACATACACATACACATACACATACACATACACATACACATACACATACACATACACATACACATACACATACACATACACATACACATACACATACACATACACATACACATACACATACACATACACATACACATACACATACACATACACATACACATACACATACACATACACATACACATACACATACACATACACATACACATACACATACACATACACATACACATACACATACACATACACATACACATACACATACACATACACATACACATACACATACACATACACATACACATACACATACACATACACATACACATACACATACACATACACATACACATACACATACACATACACATACACATACACATACACATACACATACACATACACATACACATACACATACACATACACATACACATACACATACACATACACATACACATACACATACACATACATTGATTAATATTATATTTAAATGTGTAAATATAATAGATTTTATTCTCTAACTAAATATGTTTAAAATAAAAAAATTATTTAAAAAAAAATGTACTTGCTTATTATTATTGAATGCATAATTATAGTCAAACGTTTACCATACCTATCAAGTAATCCGATCGCATGGCATACCCGATAAAAACATAATTGTCATGCATTACGATGATCTGGCCTACAATAAAGCAAATCCCACACCGGGTATTGTTGTTAATAAATTGAACGGTTCGGACGTCTATAAGGGTGTGCCCAAAGATTTTACTGGCAACGATGTCAATCCACTTGTATGTACTTTAAAAATAAAATAAATAAATAAAATTAATAGTATTTATTTTTTTGCAAAAATTAATTTTTAAATTTTTTTATTAGAATTTTTTGGCTGTACTACGTGGCGACCCTGTACTGGCCCGTAATGGCAAAAAAGTTGTCAACAGTGGACCCAATGACTATATCTATGTATACTTTATAGATCATGGATCTGATGGTACGGTATATAACTATATATATATATATATATATATATATGTAGTTTTTAATTATAACAAACAATTTTTTTTTATAAACTATTGATTGATTTGATTGGACCGTTAGATTTGATAGCCTTTCCCCATCAGTATCTGTACGGCGAAGAACTAAACGATCAGCTCAGGGATATGTTTGATAAGAAACGTTACGCTAAAATGGTTTTAAATATTGAGGCCTGTAATTCAGGTATAAATAAAATACAGTACAACATCAGTAGTATATTAATACTAAAAAAATTAAAAAAAATTAAAAAATAGGTTCAATGTTTGAAAAACTGTTGCCCCAGGATATCAACGTATGGGTAACAACATCGGCCAATCCAATGGAGTCTAGCTATGCATGCGATTACGATCCCCTACGTAAAACCTACCTGGGCGATTATTATTCGGGCACATGGATCGAAAATATCGAATCACAAGATCTGGATAATGAAACACTGATAGAAATGTATGAGTATATTAAGGTAAGGGTTAACATATCGCATCCGCAAGCCTATGGTGATGGACAGGTAGCCAAAATGGTGGTATCGAAATTTTTAGGTAGGCGCTTGCATTATGTGTATGTGTATGTGTATGTGTATGTGTATGTGTATGTGTATGTGTATGTGTATGTGTATGTATATGTGTATGTGTATGTGTATGTGTATGTGTATGTGTATGTGTATGTGTATGTGTATGTGTATGTGTATGTGTATGTGTATGTGTATGTGTATGTGTATGTGTATGTGTATGTGTATGTGTATGTGTATGTGTATGTGTATGTGTATGTGTATGTGTATGTGTATGTGTATGTGTATGTGTATGTCTATGTGTATGTGTATGTGTATGTGTATGTGTATGTGTATGTGTATGTGTATGTGTATGTGTATGTGTATGTGTATGTGTATGTGTATGTGTATGTGTATGTGTATGTGTATGTGTATGTGTATGTGTATGTATATGTGTATGTGTATGTGTATGTGTATGTGTATGTGTATGTGTATGTATATGTGTATGTGTATGTGTATGTGTATGTGTATGTGTATGTGTATGTGTATGTGTATGTGTTGTTTTTTAAATGGTTTTTTAAATTACATCTAAAATAACTATAAATAAATAGGAAATAAGCCTAAAAATCTACTACCGGTGCCCACCACCACATCATCAAGTGATTGTCATCCGGTTAAAAGCCAGGATATGGCCATACATTTAGCCGAAATGAATTACCGATATTCGGCCAGTGATAATGAACGTCGGCAATACCTGAAACAATTGGATACCATAGTAAAGGGTAGACATTTAATGGACAAACATTTTGAACGCTATGTCCAAAGTATTATTGATCAGTTGGGTAGTTCAGGCACTACTACTACTACCAGTGCTCTACTAAATGATAGACATGAGCTAACAAATCGAAAATGTTATCGTCAATTAGTAGATATGTTTCATCAACAATGTTTCAATTTGAACCAGGTAACTTAAATTAATATATAATATATGTGATCTCAACCTATTAAGGAATGAAATTATTTATATAAAAAATACAATCAAAACTAAGTCCAACCTAAATGGACATCAATAATGTTGAAAAAATAAAAATAATTAGTATAATAAAAGTTTATTATTAATATTAATAATATTAATAATATTAATAATATTAATAATATTAATAATATTAATAATATTAATAATATTAATAATAATAATTAATAATAATAATAATAATAATAATATTAATAATAATAATAATAGTAATAGACTATCAGTAATAATTAACATAATATATATAAATAAATATTAAAAAATTAAAATATACCGTAATACCTTAAATAATATATCATATTACAAAAAATAATTTATATTAAAAAAGTACCGTAATTGAAAAATACACCACGTTATTTTTTATATTCCCATTGTTTTCATATAATCTAATAACTCGAGTTCAGTATTAGTAGATAACGCAATCTCTGATTACTTTAGCGTTTACAGGGATCTAACATATTTTTAGTATTTCTATTTCAAACTAAGTTACCTGTTCTGTAAATCGTTCATACAGAGATGTTTTGCTAACGTAGAACATATTTGCAATATGTTCAAAAGATTTGTCGGGTTTTTATGTTTGTTTACAAAGCATCGATCATGTTTTGGTCTTTCTCATAAGATTTGCGATATTTAAAATTTATATTTATTTGTGAATTAATTTTATTTCAGTTTAAAACATGTTGGTAATACGGTATTTGTATGAAATACACATTATAATTGAAAAAACACATAATATGTGTTGGTAATACGGTATTTGTATGAAAAACACATTATAATTGAAAAAACACATAATATGTATTGGTAATACGGTATTTGTATGAAATACACATTATAATTGAAAAAACACATAATATGTGTTGGTAATACGGTATTTGTATGAAAAACACATTATAATTGAAAAAACACATAATATGTGTTGGTAATACGGTATTTGTATGAAAAACACATTATAATTGAAAAAACACATATGTGTTGGTAATACGGTATTTGTATGAAATACACATTATAATTGAAAAAACACATAATATGTGTTGGTAATACGGTATTTGTATGAAAAACACATTATAATTGAAAAAACACATAATATGTGTTGGTAATACGGTATTTGTATGAAATACACATTATAATTGAAAAAACACATAATATGTGTTGGTAATACGGTATTTGTATGAAAAACACATTATAATTGAAAAAACACATAATATGTGTTGGTAATACGGTATTTGTATGAAAAACACATTATAATTGAAAAAACACATAATATGTGTTGGTAATACGGTATTTGTATGAAAAACACATTATAATTGAAAAAACACATATGTGTTGGTAATACGGTATTTGTATGAAAAACACATTATAATTGAAAAAACACATAATATGTGTTGGTAATACGGTATTTGTATGAAAAACACATTATAATTGAAAAAACACATAATATGTGTTGGTAATACGGTATTTGTATGAAAAACACATTATAATTGAAAAAACACATAATATGTGTTGGTAATAAGGTATTTGTATGAAAAACACATTATAATTGAAAAAACACATATGTGTTGGTAATACGGTATTTGTATGAAATACACATTATAATTGAAAAAACACATAATATGTGTTGGTAATACGGTATTTGTATGAAAAACACATTATAATTGAAAAAACACATAATATGTGTTGGTAATACGGTATTTGTATGAAATACACATTATAATTATTACATGGGTATATAGCGGTGTTATACGGTATTATTTTGAAATAATATTTTATTTTTGTTATAATTAATTATATATTATATTAGACATTATTTATGTTTAGAAATGGGTTAATCAATGGTTTGCTGACCCGTTCTCTAAATGGGAATCAGTATACCATTGATTACTAAATTAAATAAAACAATTCAAAAAAAATTTTAAGACATTGTTGCTGTCAATGTGTATCCAGTGATATCTAATCTATAAGAAAAAAATAAAAAATAATTAAATAATTGATAATTTATTTATTATTAATTATCAAACTTACCTCTGATTACGTTCCCTATTGTGTTGACCAGTAGTTGTCTTAGTTGTGACTAAATTGTGTTTTTGTGCTAATTTTTTTGACTAATTTAACAATTATTTATTATAGTGTACATCAATAGCTATCTAATGAGCTATTGATGACAACAATTGATTAACAAATAAACAATTAATCAATTGTTTTATAAATCCATTCCTTATTAGGCTTATTCTCTAATAGGTTGAGATCACATATATATATATATATATATATATATATACTATACTGTATATATATATTATATATTAATAACTTGAATTTATAAAATATATTTTTAAATTGTCTAAAACTAAAACATAGAAACAAAATAACATAAATCAAGTTAAATATGTTTTTTTTTGTTTCTAATATAAATTAAACTAAAAATAATAATAATTATTATTATTACTATTATTGTAAATAATAGCAGTAATAGTAATAAATTTTTTTTTCGATTAATAAATTAAAATAATAATTATTATTTTTAATTTTTATGTTTTTTTTGGCAAATCATTAGAATCCATACGGTTTTAGTAAATTGAAAATTTTTGTCAACATTTGTGAACAACTAGTTGTCGATAATGTATTGGACATACAATTTATGGTCAACTCATTGAAACACTACTGTCAACAAAACGTTGTCAACGATTATACTAATATTGAATGAAATTTTTTTAAAAAAAAAATTTTTGTTTGATTTTTTTAATTAAATTAAATTAAAATTTAAAAAAAAATAAACTAAACAAACAAACAAAAAATACAAATGTATGTATAATTTGAATGAAAATAAAACATTTTCTAAATAAATAAATAATTATAATGCAACTTTTTTATAAATATTTATTTTTCTAAAAAAAATAAACATAAATTTTATTTACAACAACAACTACTACTACAATTTTAATAATAATAATAATAATAATTATTATTATTATTATTAGTTTTTTTTAAAATATTATTAAATGTAATTATATATTTAAATTTAATACAAGTATATTTACTTATAAACAATATACATTTAAAATAAATTACAAATAAAATAAAAATGTACAAGTATATAATTTTTTCTATTACTATTCTAACTTAATATTATACTGTATGTTTTTTTTAAATAATTATTAAAATTGCTTTGTATTATTTTACGTAAAATAATGCTAATCATGTTATACCAGAGTCATATTTTAGTAATATATATATATATATATAAATGGTATATATATATATATATATTTGTTTTCTATGTAATTATTAATGTACTAGTATTATTCAATAAATTTTTAGAAAAAAAAAGTATTTTATATTATATTATTAAAATAATATTAAATATACTGTATATATATATTTATATATTTAATATCATTTGTATTATTTATTTTTATAAAAAATAATTATTTTATTTATACGTAGTATTTAAATTTTATTTTATATATTATTATTTTTTTAATATATATATATAGTTAATATTTGAATTATAATTATCTATTAATATTTATATATATATACAGTATTAGCTATGTATATAAAACTATTGATTAGCATGCTCATTGATCTATATAATCTAATATTGACAATCGATCGTACAGTTTATTTAATTAGTTCAATATCATCGAGTTTGGTCATCCTAGTTGTCTATTGGCTATATAAGCTCTATTTGCCCAGTGATCGGCTATTTGTAAATATAATTTTTTTATATATATATATCTATATTTAAATAAATTATCAATAATATAAAAATTAAAGCTAAATACATCTATATATATATATCAGGTTTTCGATCTCAGGGGGGGGGGGTAGTGGTGTGTGATATAGGGTAATGCAAAATGGCAAAAATCTCGAAAAACTTAGGGAAATATAGGGAGGGGTATAAAATATTTAGTATTGTATACTTAAAAGACTATTTTTTAAGAAAATCTTCATAAATGGCCACTAAATTCCCTATAAATTCTTACTTAATTTTCACTAAATTTTCACTAAATTTTCACTAAATTCCCAATAAACTCGTTTATAAAATACCTATAAATTTCTACAAAATTTCCAATAAATTCTACTTAATTTTTATTTAGTCTAAAACTTAAAAATGACAATTTTGCATAAATACTATATATATAAACTAATTATATTTAAATATATATACAACTAAAGAGCTATAAACCAAAAAAAAAAAAAAAGATCTTGATATCGACAAGGTAAGACCGGGTGTTTACCCCCTACCCTCTATCTAGCAACCCTGATATATATATAAAGTATTATTATAATAATATATAAATTAATTTACATTTTATAAATATAAAAATATACAAGTATATAATATTATACTATTCTAACTTTAATACTATCAATCTAATACTAAATTAACTTGTTTAAATCTTAATGATTTATATCTTATATAGTTTTTTTTTGTTATATACAAGTAACAGTATTCGAGTTGACATTGAAATATTTTTAATTTTATTTTACTTGTAATGTTAAATTGTATAGTTAATTTTTTTAAAAATCGTGTTTGTCATATGTATTAAATCTCACTTCAATGTTACTTTGATGTCAATTCAATATCAATTCAATAACATTTCAATGTCACTTCAATGTCTATTCAATATTTCAATGTCATTTTAATATCACTTCAATGTCACTTTAATGTCATTGTCAATGTCAATTCAATGTCAATTCAATGTCATTTCAATGTTATTTCAATGTTATTTCAATGTCATTTCAATATCACTTCAATGTCACTTCAATGTTATTTCAATGTCAAATCAATGTCAAATCAATGTCAAATCAATGTCAAATCAATGTCAAATCAATGTCAAATCAATATCAAATCAATGTCAAATCAATGTCAAATCAATGTCAAATCAATGTCAAATCAATGTCAAATCAATGTCAAATCAATGTCAAATCAATGTCAAATCAATGTCAAATCAATGTCAAATCAATGTCAAATCAATGTCAAATCAATGTCAAATCAATGTCAAATCAATGTCAAATCAATGTCAAATCAATGTCAAATCAATGTCAAATCAATGTCAAATCAATGTCAAATCAATGTCAAATCAATGTCAAATCAATGTCAAATCAATGTCAAATCAATGTCAAATCAATGTCAAATCAATGTCAAATCAATGTCAAATCAATGTCAAATCAATGTCAAATCAATGTCAAATCAATGTCAAATCAATGTCAAATCAATGTCAAATCAATATCAAATCAATGTCAAATCAATATCAATTAAATATCATTTCAATGTCAAAATATTAAAATGAATTATTTAATTAAAATTTAGTTAATTTAAATATTTTTTCTAATAATTAAAATCTAATAATAATAATAATAATATAGAATATAAGTTCTAAACAATTGAAAAATGGACGACAAATGGATAGATATAATGAAGATGAACAACCATTATCTCATCCAATCAGTTGGTTTGCACTGTTAGACTCGTGGGAACTGAACAAAAGTGAGGCCAAATCTGTTTCAATTTTCGAACACGATTTAGTTTTGTTTAGGGGTGAGTCCGGTTCAGTGAACATATTGGACGCCTACTGTCCGCACAACGGCGCAAATCTTGGCGTTGGCGGTACTGTTGACGGCGATTGTATTCGATGTCCGTTTCATTGCTGGAAATTTGACGGATCGGGAAAGTGTACGGCAATTCCCGGATTGAACTGTAATTTACTTTTTTTATATATAAATACATATACATACATACATATGCACACATATATACGCATACACCTACATAAATATGTACACGTACATACACATATACCCTTACATACATATATAGACTTACATACGTATATACACATACATAGATATATACACGTACATACACATATACACTTACATACATATGTACACATACATACATATATACACTTACATACATATATACACATACATACATATATACACTTACATATATACACATACATACATATATATACACATACATACATATATACACATACACACATATATACACTTACATATATACACTTACATACATATATACACATACATACATATATACACTTACATACATATATACACGTACATACATATATACTCTTACATACATATATACACTTACATACATATATACGCATACATACATATGTACACATACATACATATATACACTTACATATATACACATACATACATATATATATACACATACATACATATATACACATACACACATATATACACTTACATATATACACTTACATACATATATACACTTACATACATATATACGCATACATACATATATACACGTACATACGTATATACACTTACATACATATATACACATACATACATATATACACTTACATATATACATATACATACATATATATACACATACATACATATATACACATACACACATATATACACTTACATATATACACTTACATACATATATACACATACATACATATATACACATACATACATATATACCCATACATATAATCAGTCAAAATTTTGAATATAATACACTCGTGAATCTGATACCTGCAGCCAAATCTCTACCCGAAGTTCGTACCCGTGTCTGGCCGTGTATGGAAGTGGACAATTTGATTATGGTATGGTATCATCCGGCAGCCCACGAGCCAAAATGGCGCCCGTTATCTATGGAATCGATAGCCAAAAATAATTATGAGTATCGGGGTAAATGCAATCTAATTGCCAACTGTTGTATCCAGGTAGTTTTAATTAATTTAGTTTTAGAAAAATAATCTATATATATATATACATGTAGATACAAGTACCATAATTTTATGCTAATTAAAACTACAAATAGATATTATTTAATTTTTTAAAAGTCATTAAAATCGGTTTTAGTACATTTTTTTAAAATTAAAAAATCTATTTTTATATGTTGATACTAGTACCATAATTTTATACTAATTAAAATTATAGTTTTAAAATAGATAATTTTTAACTTATTCAAAAAAATCATTAAAATTGGTTTTAATACATTTAAAAAAATAAAAAACAAATATAAATATTGTTATTTTGCATATAAAAAAATCTAATTACACATATATATACAGTATATGTATAAACTATATTATTATTAATTATTATTATATTAGGAGTACCCAGAAAATGTTGTCGCAAATTTAGGTCAATTCAACCAACTAGATTTATCTAGGCAACTATTGGGTCTGGGCAAATTGAAAACTTATTGCGCCAAACGGATATGTAAATGGTTTAGCCAATATATTAACTACGATTGGCAAACGGCCGACTATGAAACCAAAACCAACGACTACGATGACAGTGGTCATATGGCCAGACAGTTTACGGACGGTAGCTGTTGGCTGTTTGGCTGGAAATTTGCCCAATTTTCCATCCGAATCAAACAAATCGGACCGGCATTGGCCCACATTTCGACCAGATATACATTGTTTGGTTGCTTGGAATTTACAGCCCTATTGATCAGCACCTGTACACCTATGGGTGCGTATAGTAACAGTTTTTGTCATCGACTATATATGAAACCGGGACTATTTGGCCGATTGTTTGCCAAAATATTTATCAAAACATTGGACATAATGGTTAGTGTGACTTTTAATTAATTGGTTATTTTTTAACGTTATTTGTAGATTTAGACGTAATTTATTAATGATTTCAAAAAAAATAATTTAGTTGTCACGTGACCTATTGATTTGGAACGACAACAAATATTTGAGACAACCTATATTGACCAAAAACAAAACAAGCATGCTCAAATTTAGACTCTGGTACAAACAATTTTTGTACCAAACTGATAATGAATTATTTTAATTAATAATAATGTAGATGTACAAACAAAAATTGTAATCAAGTAGTTATTAAGATTTTTATTTTATTTTTTTTGATGGATTAATTAATTTTATTTAATTTAATTAAATTTTAATTTTTTTGATTGATGATTTTTAATTTAAAATTTTTGTTTAAAAAAATACTTAATAAATTAATATAATATATAGATATATAATTTAGAAAATTTTAAATAACTAAAAAAATATATGTAATAACTATTAATTATATAAAAATTTTCGTTAATACAGAAAAGGTTTTTATTTGTCTCAAATTTATTTTTAAAAATAATTTACTTAATATTTATAACATTTTTTTAAATAATCTACTAAATATTTTTTTAATAAGTTTTTAATATGAAATCATATAACACCGGCATCTCTGGCCAGTGTATAAAAAATCGACAAATTGTTTTTTAGTAAAACATCGGGTTCCGCAAAATCGGCTACCCGTCCGTTGTCGAGGACTAACACCCGATCGGAGTCCATAATTGTGTTGATTCGGTGGGCAATCGTTAGGACAGTCGACGACCTAAACTCTTGACGTATGGTTTGCTGTATGAGTGCATCGGTTTCGACGTCGACGGCAGCCGTGGCCTCATCGAGGATAAGGACACGAGTGTTACGTAACAGAGCCCGTGCCAGACATATGAGCTGTCGTTGACCAACACTCATGTTATCACCCGATTCGGCGACCGTCCAGTCGAGTCCCCGATCACTGGCGGCAACAAACTCTTTGAGATGCAACTGTTCTAACACTGTCCACAAGTGATCGTCGGAAAACTGGCCAAACGGATCCAAATTGAAGCGAATTGTACCCGAAAATAGTATGGGTTCTTGAGGTATAATTGTTAGCCGAGAGCGCAACTCGTGTAGACCTAACCGTCCGATATCTATGCCATCGATGACTATCCGACCCATTGCTGGTTCAATGAGCCTAAACAGAGCCAAAGTTAGCGATGACTTTCCAGCACCGGTTCGTCCAACAATACCTATCTGTTTGTCAGAATAAAAAAATATTTAATTTTATGACTTAATTTAGATATTTGAATATTTTAAAGAAAATTGTTTTTAAAATTTTATAATAATTAATTTTTCATCTACAATATATATATATATAATACCTTTTCGCCCGGTTTAATATCCACATCAATATCATTGAGAACCAAATCCAATCCAATCCTATATCTAGTGGCATAACTCTCAAACCTAACTGATCCCCTATCGGGCCAGTTATCGGCTAACGGGTAGTCATCATCACATCGATGCCAATCGGATTCACTTTCCAATCGACAGTATTCGTCAATACGTTCGACTGAAACCATATTGTTTTCCAACAGTGAAAACCCTTTGATAAACTGGTCTAACATTATGGTCAACGACATTGCATAGGATAGGGATAGTCCTATATCGCTGCCGGTTAGACTGCCTTTCCCCAGTACGGCAAACATTGCGGCAAAAAATAGCAAACAATTGCTGAGTGATGTCAACCAAATTTTTAGCCAACTGTTTGCCACAACATTAGGATAGAGACACATCTGATTGATGTCTACTCGTCTATTGGATTCCCGTACAAACCGATCGGTACAGCCGTAAGCTCTAATGCTTGACACACCGTCAAGTGTTTGACCAAAATGTGAATATATTGGCGATCGGGTGGTCGACTCTAAGCTATAATTTTGAAATTATAATTTTTATTGTATTTTGTTATTATTATTCTAATAAATTAGAGATTAAATGCTTACCGTTTTAATTGTCGTGAAGTTTTAATATAAATAAACTAAAAATGTATTAAAACAAAACAAAAATAGTTTATATAAAGTTTATATTTATATTTTACCATTATATCTAACCTGAACTAAATAGTAAATAACAGCTACCAGTGCCAGTGGTGCCAAAAACAATGGTGTCTTTATAGATACCGTTACTATTATACCAATTAATTGTAATAAGTTATCCATAGTTACACTTTTTTGTTTGTTTGTCAAATAAAAATAATTGAATAATAAAAATAATTAAAGTATATTTCATTAATCTAATCAATTAATCAATCAATTAATCAATCAATTAAATACTTGATATTAAACAGTAGTAAGCGATCCAATACATCGGTGTCGTTACCAAATCGGTTCATCAGTCGGCCGATTGGTGTCCTATCGAAGTAATTCATCGGTGAATGCATTACACTCGACAACAGTTGCCGGTGTAGACGAGTGGAGGCCCGACATATACCGTAGATTATAAACAAACGGCTAAGCGTTAGTGTAACAATTGAACAGCCAATAAATGCACTAAATATTGCCAAATAGTAGTAGTGGTCGGAAGCCATTCCTGAGCCAACCGATGCTGATGTTGATGATGATGATGATGGTGGTGGTGGTGATGGTTGGCCGCCAATATTGTTGCTAAATATTGTCAACCAAAACGATGATCCAATTTGTAGGCCATTGTATGTGATTATTGACAATAGATAACCCATTGAACAGTACGAACCTAAATGTTTGGCATATTTCATATATATCTGCAATATTTATAAAACAAAATAAAAATTATATATATATATATATATATATATATATATATAATTTATTATATAATAATATATAAAATTGTATATAACTTTTAATAATACAATTATTTATTTATTTATGATTTTACTATTTAATAATATTAATATTTAATAATATTAATATTTAATTATATTTACAATGAAATTAATTTAATAATACATACACTAAATTTGACCTGGCCAATTTCTACCGTTTCCTCATTAATCAAAGGTTTTAATTTATTTATGTTGTTAATGGGTTTTACAATAGTATCAATTGAATTACTATTATTATGACTAATAACATTATTATCAATTAGTTTAGTAATTTTTAAATTATTGTCATCACAATAATCATTATAATTATAATAATCTATATTAATATTATCTGGAATTTTATCACTACTACTACTACTACTTTCAGCTAAATATTGTTGAATTAAATCGAAAAAATAACAATCATTTTCCAATAGATTATCATAAGTACCGACACTTGTAATTATGCCGTCTTTTATGACAACAATTAGGTCGACATCGGGTAATACAAACAATTGATTTGTTACTAATAAACGGGTTTTATTGCTTAGAATACCGGTTCTCGAGTCGAGTACTTTTCTGACAATATGTTTGGCCACATGACTGTCCACTGAATTAAAAATATATATATATTTTTAGTTGTTTGTTGGTATAGTAAATAAAATTATTATTATTATATTATAACTAAATACCGGCAGAAAGTGGATCGTCGAGTAGGTATAGATCGGCACCGGAATAGACAGCTCGGGCTAAACTGACTCTTTGTTTTTGACCGCCACTCAGATTAACGCCCTTTTCGCCGATCTCTGTCTCGTCGCCGTCGGACAACTGTAGTAAGTCCTCTCTGAGTGCACACGTGTCGAGCACCCGGTCATACAATTCCTGATCCATGGGTTTACCAAACAATATATTCTCTTTGACCGTACAGTTCAATATCCAGGCCTGTTGTGGAACATAGGCTACACTAATATCTGGTCTAACATTGACTCTACCATTACTGCCAATCAGATCCATATCGCCAAACAGGGCCGACATCAGTGAACTCTTACCGGACCCGACACTGCCTACTATTGCCATAAACTGGCCGTCAATTACTTTGAGATTAATATTATGTAAAATCGGTTTTATATTATTTGTATTATTATTACTACTATTACTAATACAATTAGTATCGGATTCCCAATTAAACGATGCATTTTCAACATTAATAATACAATTATTTGATAAATTGTTTTCAATATAATCCAAGTGTTCATCACTATTGAGAAACTGTTCAATTCGTTTGAATGCTACGTAAATCTGAAATTATTATAATAAATAGTATTCAAAAATAATTTAACATTAAATACATCTAAATATAAATTAATTTAATTACAATAATATATATAATATATATATATATAATATTGTTTAAAAATAATTAGACTAATTGTATATTAATTATTAGTAATTAATATAAATAAATAATTGTAAACAAATGTAACAAAAAAAATATATATAGATAAATATAATGTAATTTATATTAAAAAAAAAATTTGTTTTGATTGAATAGTTACCAATGTAATAGCATTAAACGATATTGGTAATGTAAGCATAATTTGCCTGATCAAATTAAACAATGCCAGTGATACAAATATTTTGGATGCATTCAATTGGTTCAGTTGGTCACCCTTATTGATGGCCACATACGTACAATAGGTAATCAATTGGACGATTGCTGGACTGGTAAAACTTAATACAACATAAACGGTAATCGATTGGCCAATTGAAATAAATTTGTCCAACTCTTTGGTCCTAATTTTTTCAACTAAACCCATAAACGCCTCCTCCCAGGCATACAACTGGAAGTCAATTCAGAAAACAATTAATCAAAAAAAAATTAAATAAAATTAATACTTTTAAAACTTTAATTCCGTTCAATATTTCGTTCATCAAGTTTTGACGTTTGTCTTTGATTGACATCATTTGTTTATTCAATTGTAAAGTAAATAAACCGACTAAAACATTCAAAATTAACGATACAAACATATATATTATGCCGGCAAATGCGGCCACACCTAACTGTTGGTATAACAAATAGACGGCTATTATCAGTTGAATAGGATTTGATAGTATTGTAATCAGATTGACGGCTTGCTCTGCGCATATAAATAAATGAAAAAATTAATATATATATATATATATATAGATAGATAGATAAATAAAAAATTATAAAATATTATTATAAATTAACCGCTAATTCGTTGGCAATCAATGGCCATAATGTTGACTATTTCACCGGTAGGTGTGCGCCGTTTGGCACTATTGCTCAGCACTAGTGACTTGCGATAGACGGCTGATGTTAGACACGATTTAATACGTAAACCTATTATAAATAATTATAAATATATATATATATTTTTATAATTATATTATATTTTATTATTTAATTGCTTATTATTATTTTACATGTAGCACCGATATACTCGTTAAACATTGCCTGGACAATTGAAGCAAATACATTTATGATAACCAATAGTACAGTATAGACATAGCCGTGCCATTGGGGAGCACCGGGATCTTCAATAAACTGAATCATTAAACTGTGAAATAATTTGCACACAAAAAAATTATATAAATATTATTTTTTTTTTTTAAAAACTTTTAATTAGTAGCTAAAAGTTACTATATATAGATATATAAATAATATAAAGTAAATAAAAAATATATAAATAAAAATAATTAAATAATAAACATGGACATACAGTAAAATTATTGGCGATCCCATTTGCAAACAATACGATAGTATACAAAACAATAGTGACCAAATAATTTTTGGTAAATATAGTTTAGTAATGATGGCAAACATATTTCTAGAATTACCATGTTTAATTTTATTAGTATTATTATTATTATAATTATTAATAATATGTTTAGCTGAAGATGATGATGATGGTGACCATTGTTTCAAAAAGCGCTTATAGTTATAGACACTACTGTCCTCCCGGCTCAGTGCCCATAGATCATCAAATACTAGTGACTTGTTTAGCCAACCTTTCAATAGTAGCCGATTTACCCACTGATAGGTTATGCGCGATGCATAGGATGCGCCCGATTTTGGACAAACAATATGTTTGATCCATAAGTCATGATCAGTATCTGTATTATTGTTGCTATTTTCTGGTAGCAATTGATCAGCAAATGTACAGTAGATTAATAGACAAACAGTTAGCGCAAAGTTTATACAATAGAGTATAAATTCATAATTTTCTAGCATATTATGTGTAGCATATGTAGCCACTGATAGACCACTTAAAATTGTATCTACTAATAGGTATAACCAAATCCAACCACTGGTCGTAATGTCGGTCAATCGGTGGACGAAAAACACAGAACAAAGAGATAGTCGTGTAATGGTTTGAATGGCAACTGCTATGATGTATGCAGTGCTGGGACTGTTAGCCCATAGATATTTGCGGCACAAACTCAATGTTAGCATTGCTATTAGGATACCAGTGCTGGCAATGACCACAAACAGTCTACTAGTGTTATATAAGTTCCATTTGATAACATTTTTATTGCTATCCATACGTATACTATTGTATTTGTATAACAGGTACGGTATGTATAACCACATAAACAGACAGGGTATCCATACGAACCATGTATTCAGCATACATGAGCTCAGTGATGGACTATTAGTAAACCATACATTAAGTTTATCCTATTTAAAAAAATAAAATAAAATATATTTAGCTTAATTTTATTATATTATTAATACTTACAAATAGTTTATCATTACATATATTTTCAAACATTGTTATTTTTTAACATATGATTAAAATGTATATATATATAATAAATTTTGTTAACAAAAAAAACTATATATATATATATATATATATATATATATTTGTTAAATATATTATATATATATATTCAATTTATTAAAAATACAATTCAATTATAACAACTAATACAATAATTTTATATTATTGAAAATAATATATATTTTAAAATTGAATATTATTTCAATGAAAAAGCATTTAATTTAGTTTTAAAAAATTAATTTGAATTAGTTAGCAATAAATTGAATTAACTCTGATTTTTATATTATTAATTTAATGATATATATAAATTATATATTATATATTTTTAAAATCATAGAATTCATACAATTATTTTCATTATATAATGCTATAATTTAAATTACAAATATAATAGTTAAAACTAATAATAATTATTTTTAAAATTCAACTAAATAATAATAATGATTAAATCAAAAAAAACTTATTAGTATTAGTAATAGTTATTAGTAATTGTAGTCAAATAAACATAATAGTAAAGTCACTGATTAATAAAATATTAAATTATTTATATACAGTAAAAAATATTAATTAAGTAAAAAATAATTTTTTTAAAATTATAATTAAAACTAAATTAAATAAATTTATTAAATTATAAGTTTTTAAATATGAAATTAATAAAAACTAGATAATAGTCGCCAATTTAAATATGTTTACAGTATATATATAATATAAATTAGGATATTTTTTAATATTTAAGAAAAAATAAATATATAAATATTAATTAATTAATTTATAATATAATTTGTATTAATTATTGAGAAAAATTTATAATTAAAAACTAAATTAAATAAATTTATTAAATTATAAGTTTTTAAATATGAAATTAATAAAAACTAGATAATAGTCGCCAATTTAAATATGTTTACAGTATATATATAATATAAATTAGGATATTTTTTAATATTTAAGAAAAAATAAATATATAAATATTAATTAATTTATAATATAATTTGTATTAATTATTGAGAAAAATTTATAATTAAAAACTAATAAATCAAACAATACCGGCATCACTGGCCAGTGTATAAAAAATTGACAATTTGTTTGCCAGCAAACTGTCGGGTTCGGCAAACTCGGCTACCCGTCCGCTGTCGAGGACTAACACCCGATCGGAGTCCATAATTGTATTGATTCGGTGGGCAATCGTTAGGACAGTCGACGAACTAAACTCTTGACGTATGGTTTGCTGTATGAGTGCATCGGTTTCGATGTCGACAGTAGCCGTGGCCTCATCGAGGATAAGGATATGAGTGTTACGTAACAGAGCCCGTGCCAGACATATGAGCTGTCGTTGACCAACACTCATGTTATCACCCGATTCGGCGACCGACCAGTCGAGTCCCCGATCATTGGCGGCAACAAATTCTTTGAGATGCGACTGATCTAACACTGTCCACAAGTGATCGTCGGAAAACTGGCCAAACGGATCCAAATTGAAGCGAATTGTACCCGAAAATAGTATGGGTTCTTGAGGTATAATTGTTAGCCGAGAGCGCAACTCGTGTAGACCTAACCGTCCGATATCTATGCCATCAATGACTATCCGACCCATTGCTGGTTCAATGAGCCTAAACAGAGCCAAAGTTAGCGATGACTTTCCAGCACCGGTTCGGCCAACAATACCTATCTGTTATTTAAAAAATAATAATATTAAATAAGTGATTTAGAATTATTGTAAATTAATTTTTAAAAAATAATTTAAAATCTAAAAATTATTAGCATTAATATTTTTATTTTACTTAAAATTAATTAAATGTTATGTTTATAGAAGATAACTATAATTTATTTTAGTTATACAGTAGGTATAGATTTATTTATAAGTTATATATAAAATATACTTCAAATAATAATAATACCTTTTCTCCCGGTTTAATATTGACATCAATATCATTGAGTATCAAATCCAATCCAATCCAATATCTGGTGGCATAACCCTCAAACCTAACGGATCCCCTGTCGGGCCAGTTATCGGCTAACGGGTAGTCATCATCACATCGATGCCAATCGGATTCACTTTCCAATCGACAGTATTCGTCAATACGTTCGACTGAAACCATATTGTTTTCCAACTGTGAAAACGATTTGATAAACTGGTCTAAAATTAGTGTCAACGACAGTGCATAGGATAGGGATAGTCCTATATCGCTGCCGGTTAGACTGCCTTTCCCCAGTACGGCAAACAGTGCGGCAAAAAATAACAGACAATTGCTGAGTGATGTCAACCAAATCTGTAGACAACTGTTTGCTACAACATTAGGATAGAGACACATCTGATTGATGTCTACTCGTCTATCGGATTCCCGTACAAACCGATCGATACACTTGTAGGCCCTAATGCTGGACAAACCGGCCAATGTTTGACCAAAATGTGAATATATTGGCGATCGTGTAGTCGACTCTAAACTATGAGTTTATTTTATATTGTATTTTATTATTATTATTATTAAAACAGACTTAAATGCTTACCGTTTTAGTTGTCGTGAAGTTTTAATATAAATAAACTAAAACAAAATAACAAAACAAAAATAATTAATAATAAATATATAAATATAGTTTAAATAATCTAACCTGGACTACATAGTAAATAACAGCTACCAGTGCCAGTGGTGCCAAAAACAATGGTGTCTTTATAGATATCGTTACTATTATACCAATCAATTGTAAAAAGGCATCTATTGTTATACTTTTTGTTGTTGTTTTTTTTGTTAGTTAAACAATAATAATATTAATAATAAAGTAATATTAAAAAAAGTTTATATTTATATTTATTATATTTATATTTAAATTAGATATAAATATAATAATATAATATACTGTATATATATATATAATTAATTAATTAATTATTAAATCAATTAAATACTTGATAGTAAACAGTAGCGATCGATCCATAACATCGGTGTCGTTACCAAATCGGTTCATCAGTCGGCCGATTGGTGTCCTATCGAAGTAATTCATCGGTGAATGCATTACACTCGACAACAGTTGCCGGTGTAGACGAGTGGAGGCCCGACGTATACCGTAGACAATAAACAAACGGCTGGTCAATGTTGTAACAATAGTAGCGCCGACAAAGATACTAAAAATGGCCAAATAATAGTAGTAGTCGTTAGTAGTAGTAGTAGTAGTATTAGCCGATGATTGTTGGCTACTACTGGTATTGATGTCAATATTGTTGCTAAATATTGATAACCAAAACGATGAACCAAACAGTAGGCCATTGTATGTGATTATTGACAATAGGAAACCCAGTGAACAGTACGGACCTAAATGTTTGGCATATTTCATGTAAAGCTAAGATAACAAAAAAATTAATGAAAAATAATTATTGTAAAATTATATTAATTAATTAAATAAAGTTTGTGAGTGTGTATGTGTGTGGGCGGGTGGGTATTATTATTGGTAATACCTACACTAAATTTGACCTGGCCAATTTCTACCGTTTCCTCATTAGTCAATGTTTTTTGAATGTTGTTGTTGTCGTTAATGGGTTTTACAATAGTATAAATATTATTACTATTAATATTATTAATATTATTATTATCATCGCAATCATCATTAAAATAATCGATACTAATATTATCTGTATTTTTATCAATAGTATTATCAGATAAATATTGTTGAATTAATTCGGAAAAATAACAATCATTTTCCAATAGATTATCATAAGTACCGACACTTGTAATTATGCCGTCTTTTATGACAACAATTAGGTCGACATCGGGTAATACAAACAATTGATTTGTTACTAATAAACGGGTTTTATTGTTGAGAATACCGGTTCTCGAGTCGAGTACTTTTCTGACAATTGTTTTGGCCACATGACTGTCCACTGAATTAAAAATATATATGTTTTTAGTTGTTTGTTGGTATAGTAAATAAAATTATTATTATTATATTATAACTAAATACCAGCAGAAAGTGGATCGTCGAGTAAGTATAGATCGGCACCGGAATAGACAGCTCGGGCTAAACTGACTCTTTGTTTTTGACCGCCACTCAGATTAACACCCTTTTCGCCGATCACTGTCTGATCGCCGTCTGGCAGCTGTAGTAAGTCCTCTATGAGTGCACACATGTCGAGCACCTGATCATACAGTTCCCTGTTCATGGGTTTACCAAACAATATATTCTCTTTGATCGTACAGTTCAATATCCAGGCCTGTTGTGGTACATAAGCTATACTAATACCAGACCTAATGTTGACTCTACCCTTACCGTCACTTATCAGATTCATATCGCCAAACAGGGCCGACATCAATGAACTCTTACCGGACCCGACACTGCCTACTATTGCCACAAACTGTCCATCAATTACTTTGAGATTAATATTATGTAAAATCGGTTTATTATTATTATTATCACTATTAATACTATTTATATCTGATTCCCAATTAAACGATGCATTTTCAACATTAATCAAACAATTATTATTTGATATATTGTTTTCAATATAATTCAAGTGTTCATCACTATTGAGAAACTGTTCAATACGTTTGAATGATACGTATATCTGAAATTAATTATTAAATAGTATAAAAAAAATAAATATATAAATTAAATTAATTATAAATTATAATATAAAATAATTTGACTTTTATCTATGATGTACTAACTATTATTATTATTATTAAACATATTTACAGATTTTTAACAATTAAAAAAATAATTAATTAAGTGCTTTAAGTTATTTATTATGCTTTTTATACAAATTTTATAGTTTGTATAGTTACCAATGTAATTGCATTAAACGTTATTGGCAATGTAAACATTATCTGCCTGACCAAATTAAACAATGCCAGCGATACAAATATTTTTGATGCATTTATTTGGTGCAGTTGGTCACCCTGATTGATGGCCACATACGTACAATAGGTTATCAATTGGAAAATTAATGGACTGGTAAAACTTAATACAATATAAACGGTAATCGATTGGCCAAATCTAACAAATTTGTCCAACTCTTTGGTCCTAATTTTTTCAACTAAACCCATAAACGCCTCCTCCCAGGCATACAACTGAGTATTTTAATTATTAATAAAAAAAATTTAAATTATAAAATATTTTTATTAAATTAAATACTTTTAAAATTTTAATTCCGTTAAGTATTTCGTTCATCAAGTTTTGACGTTTGTCTTTGATTGACATCAATTGGTTAGTCAATAGTACAGTATATAAACCGACTAAAACATTGATGATAAGCGATACCAACATATAGGATAGGCCGACAAATGTGGCCACACCTAATTGTAGGTATAACAGATAGACGGCTATTATGAGTTGAATAGGATTTGATAGTATTGTAATCAGATTTACGGTTTCATCTTAATTTATAAAAGAGATAATTGAAATAATTGATAAAAAATATGAAAAAATATGAAAAAATATGAAAAAATATGAAAAAATATGAAAAAAATATGAAAAAAATAATTGAAAATATGAAAAACTAATTAACCGCTAATTCGTTGGCAATCAATGGCCATAATGTTGACTATTTCACCGGTAGGTGTGCGCCGTTTGGCACTATTACTCAGCACTAGTGACTTGCGATAGACGGCTGATGTTAGACACGATTTAATACGTAAACCTTTATATAATTCAATCAAATAAAGAAATATCAAATTTTAATCACATAATTAATTAATTATTTATATATATATTTTATGTAAATCATTAATTACATGTTGAACCGATATACTCGCTAAACATTGCCTGAACAATGGCAGCGATAACATTGATGGCCAACAATAGTATAGTATAGACATAGCCGTGCCATTGGGGAGCACCGGGATCTTCAATAAACTTAATCATTAAACTATTTTTAAAAATAAATAATTATTTACAAAAAAAAATAAAAAAAAAATAAAACTAATATATAATATATTAAGTTATATTAACTTTAATATGCATTTAAACAATATTTAAAAGTTTATAAATAATAATACCAAAAAAATTTATAAAACAAAACAATTTACAATTTATAATTAAATAAACATGGACATACTGTAGTATAATAGGCGATACCATTTGCAAACAATATGATAGTATACAAAACAATAGTGACCAAATAATTTTTGGCAAATATAGTTTAGTAATAATGATAAACAAATTTCTAGTATTACCATGTTTAATTTTATTAGTATTATTATTTTTATAATTATATATAGTGTTAGTATTTATAATATGTTTAGCCGATTTTGATGATGATGTTAATGGTGACCATTGTTTCAAAAAACGATTATAATTATAGAGAGTACTGTCCTCCCGGCGCAGTGCCCATAGATCGTCAAATACTAGTGACTTGTTTAGCCAACCTTTCAATAGTAGCCGATTTACCCACTGATAGGTTATACGCGATGCATAGGATGCGCCCGATTTGGGACAAACAGTATGTTTAGTCCATAAGTCGGAGTCAGTATCGGTATAAAAGTTGTTGCAATTTTCTAGTGGCAATTGATCGGCAAATGTACAGTAGATTAATAGACAGACAGTTAGTACAAAATTTATACAATAGAGTATGAATTCATAATTTTCTAGCATATTATGAGTGGCATATGTAGCCAGTGATAGACCACTTAAAATAGTATCCAATAATAGGTATAACCAAATCCAACCACTGGTCGTAATACCTGATAATTGGTGAATGAAAAACACAAAACAAAGCTCTAGTCTTGTAATGGTTTGAATGGCAACGGCTATAATGTATGCCGTACTGGGACTGTCCGACCATTGATATTTGCGGCACAAACTCAATGCTAACATTGATATTAGGATACCAGTGCTGGCAATGGCCACAAACAATCTACTGGTGTTATATAAGTTCCATTTGATTACATTTTTATTGCTATCCATACGTATACTACTATTATATTTGTATAACATGTACGGTATGTATAACCACACGAACAGACTGGGTATCCATACGAACCATGTATTCAGCATACATGAGCTCAATGATGGTCTGGTAGTAAACCATACAATTTGTTTATCCTATTAGTTAAACATTAAACATAATTAAAGCATTAATTAGTTTTATTTGACTAATTTATTATTAATTATAATTATTGTATTAAATACTTACCAATAGTTTATCATTACATATACTTTCAAACATTATAATTTCGGAAACTAAATTTTTGTTAAATAAATATTGTTATTATTATTATTATTTTTTAAAAAATAATACATTTCAATTTAATCTTAACATTTAATACAATAATATATATATATATATATTTTTAATTAAATTTTATTACAATGAGACAACATATTTGCAAAAAAAACATTATTATTAATGACATTGAATGCTAAATAAATTGAATTTTTTTATCAATATATTAATATAATATTAATTAATTAACAATATAGTATTGTTAATATTTAAATGTTATTTCCTTAATATTTTTAAAACAAAAAATTATTTATATTATTAAAAAACAAAATATTAAATAAATAATATAACAGTACTGTATCTACAGTATATAATAAAAAAAAAATATTAATAATTATAATTATTTGCCGCACTGTTTGCCGTACTGGGGAAAGGCAGTCTAACCGGTGGTGATTTAGGATTATTATTATTATATATTTATTTATATTAAAACTCAATTAGTATTTATATTTTTTGTTTAATACTAAACTTTACATTAATCAAAAATAAAAAAAATTGATCTCAGGGGGTAAGGTGGCCTTACCCCTCTCAACCCCTCCCTATCGAAACACTGATATAAATTTATAACATACAAATATATAATAAATATTTAATTGTGTATTATCTAAAAAATACTATTAAATTGTTTATTATTATTATAATTATCAATATTTTGTTATTATTTTTTAGATTAATAAATTTATGATAATGAAATGTAATAAAATTGTATATATTTTATAATACAGTATTAAAAGTACTATTACTAATTGATTTGGTTTATTTTTTTATTTATTTGTTTATTTATTTTATTTTTAATTTATTTTTTTCTACTAATCATATAAACATATAATTAAAAAAAATATATTTTATTAATTAATTTTTTATTATTAATAATAATATTTATATAAATATTATAAATTAGAATTAATTGATTCATTCATTATTTATTTAGATAATTATTAAATTTATTTATTTAATTTTTAATATTATTTTTAGATACACACATTAGTTATAAACATTTTAATCAAATATGATTATTATTATAGTTAATTGATAATAAAAATTATAAATATATATTTTATAGATAATACTAATTAATCAATAAATGCTTAACAATTAATTTTATTGTTAAACTTTTAATTATAAATTATAGTTTATTTAAATTATGTGTTTTTTTTGTTTTTGAAATAATCATAAATAACAGATATATAGATAGATTAAAAATTAATTAGTTTTTTTAAAAAAACTAAAATCTAATCGCAAATTTAAAAATTTCGTACTTAAACAACACCAATGTTGATAATAAATTTTTATAATTTAAAACTAGTTTATTTTTAAAAAAAAACAAATTTTCAATTATTGTAATTTATTATTGAATTATTAAAAAAATAATGTTTGAAAATATATGCAGTGATAAGTTATTCGTAAGTATAAACTAAAAAATAATAATTTTAAAAATAGCTATAAAGTGAAAAAAAAATTATCATAAATTTTTATAAATTTATGATAATTTAATATACAATTAGGATAAACAAATTGTATGGTTTACTACAAGACCAACACTGAGCTCATGTATGCTCAACACATGGTTCGTATGGATTCCCTGTCTGTTCATGTGGTTATACATACCGAACCTGTTATACAAATACATCATTGGCCGCACAGGTGTTAATAAAAATGTTATCAAATGGAACTTATATAACATTAGTAGACTGTTTGTGGCCATTGTCAGCACTGGTATCCTAATAGCAATGTTAGCATTGAGTTTGTGTCGCAAATATCAATGGTCGGACAGTCCCAGTACGGCATACATTATAGCCGTTGCCATACAAACAATCACAAGACTAGCGCTTTGTTTTGTGTTTTTCGTTCACCGATTGTCCGGTATTACGACCAATGGTTGGATTTGGTTATACCTATTATTGGACACTATTTTAAGTGGTCTATCATTGGCTACATATGCTACACAAGATATACTATATAACTATGAATTTATACTCTATTGTATAAAGTTTGCGCTAACTGTTTGTCTGTTAATCTACTGTACATTTTCCGATCAATTGCCACCAGAAAATAGCAACAATTATACCGACACTGACTCCGACTTATGGACCAAACATACTGTTTGTCCCAAATCGGGCGCATCCTATGCATCGCGTATAACATACCAATGGGTGAATAGATTACTAATAAAAGGTTGGCTAAACAAGTCATTAGTATTTGATGATCTATGGGCACTGCGCCGGGAGGACAGTAGTGGCTATAACTATAGGCGCTTTTTAAAACAATGGTCACCATTATCATCATCATTATCATCGGCTAAACATATAAACCTTAATAATAGTAGTAATGATAAAATTAAACATGGTAATAATAATAATAATAGAAATTTGTTTGCCATTATTACAAAACTATATTTGCCAAAAATTATTTGGTCACTATTGTTTAATATACTATCGTATTGTTTGCAAATGGGATCGCCAATTATTTTACTGTATGTCCCTATTTATATATTACTTTTATAAAAATAACTTTTAGATACTTATTAAAAAATAGTATTTAATTATTTATACATTCAATTTGTTTTATTTTTAAATTTTTTCCAAGATTAATGATTCAGTTTATTGAAGATCCCGGTGCTCCTCAATGGCACGGCTATGTCTATACTATACTATTGTTGGCCATCAATGTTATCGCAGCCATTGTTCAGGCAATGTTTAGCGAGTATTTGGGATCTACATGTAAAATAATAATTCAAAAAATAATTAATAAACTTATTTTTAATTAATAAGTTTATAGTTTTTTTGGTTTTTAAAAAATTTTATTTATTTAAAGGTTTACGTATTAAATCGTGTCTAACATCAGCCGTCTATCGCAAGTCACTAGTGCTGAGCAATAGTGCCAAACGGCGCACACCTACCGGTGAAATAGTCAACATTATGGCCATTGATTGCCAACGAATTAGCGGTTAATTAACTTTAATTATATTCATATTTTTTTGAATTTTTTTAAATATTAAAAATATTATATATTTATATATATATATATAGAACAAGCCGTCAATCTGCTAACAATACTATCAGATCCTATTCAATTGGTTATAGCCGTCTATGTTTTATATCTACAGTTAGGTGTGGCCACATTTGTCGGCCTATCCTATATGTTTGTATCGCTTATCATAAGTATTTTAGTCTCTTTATATACTGTATTATTGACTAAACAATTGATGTCAATCAAAGACAAACGTCAAAACTTGATGAACGAAATACTTAACGGAATTAAAGTTTTAAAAGTATTTTCATTTATTAATTTATTTTAATTGATTAAAATTTTTGATTAATTGTTATTTATTTTATTTTTTTGAATCAAAATCAATACACTCAGTTGTATGCCTGGGAGGAGGCGTTTATGGGTTTAGTTGAAAAAATTAGGACCAAAGAGTTGGACAAATTTTTTACATTTGGCAAATCGTTTATAGTTTATGTTGTTTTAAGTTATACCAGTCCAGCAATTGTCCAATTGATAACCTATTGTACGTATGTGGCCATCAATCAGGGTGACCAACTGAACCAAATAAATGCATCAAAAATATTTGTATCGCTGGCACTATTTAATTTGATCAGGCAGATAATGTTTTCTTTGCCACAATCGCTTAATGCAATTACCTTGGTAACTATTAATATAATTAAAAATATATATATATATTATTTTATTATTACCTATAATTTATTTATATCATATTACTATAATATTAATATTAATTGGTTTCAAAATATAAAAATTCAATTATTATTATTTGATTATTATAATGAATTAATATTTATGTAATGATTTTTTTTATTAATAGTAATATTAATATTAACTAAAATTTCAGATTTACGTATATTTTGTATTATATATTAGTTAATTAGTTAATAGTCTAATTATTTTATATTGTTTTTTAAATTATTTGAATATTCATGTCTATTTAATGTTAATTATTTTTTTCTAATAATACAATTAATAATTATTTCAGATTTACGTATCATTCAAACGTATTGAAAGGTTTCTCAATAGTGATGAACACTTGGATTATATTGAAAACAATATATCAAACAATTATATTATTAATGTTGAAAATGCATCGTTTAATTGGGAATCAGATACCAATAGTATTAGTAGTAGTAGTGATAATACTAATAATAGTCAACCGATTTTACATAATATTAATCTCAATATAATTGATGGCCAGTTTGTGGCAATAGTAGGCAGTGTCGGGTCCGGCAAAAGTTCACTGATGTCTGCTTTGTTTGGCGATATGGATCTGATTGGCAGTAATGGCAAAGTCAATGTTAGACCAGATATTAGTGTAGCCTATGTTCCACAACAGGCCTGGATATTGAACGATACAGTCAAAGAAAATATAGTGTTTGGTAAACCCATGGATCGAGTACTGTATGATCAGGTGCTCGAAACGTGTGCACTCAGGCATGATTTACACCAACTAGCCGACGGCGATCAGACAGTGATCGGCGAAAAGGGTGTTAATCTGAGTGGCAGGTCAAAAACAAAGAGTCAGTTTAGCCCGAGCTGTCTATTCCGGTGCCGATCTATACCTACTCGACGATCCACTGTCTGCCGGTATTTTGCTATATAATTATAATTATATTTTTTTTATAATGTGTTACTAAACAAAATAAATTTTTTTAATTTAGTGGACAGTCATGTGGGCAAACATATCGTCAGTAAAGTACTCGACTCGAGAACCGGTATTCTAAGCAATAAAACCCGTTTATTAGTAACAAATCAATTGTTTGTATTACCTGATGTCGACCTAATTGTTGTCATAAAAGACGGCATAATTACAAGTGTCGGTACTTATGATAATCTATTGGAAAATGATTGTTATTTTTCCGAATTAATACAACAATATTTAGCTGAAAGTAATAGTAGTGATGAAAATTTAAATAATTATAATAATATAGCTAATGCTAATTATTATAATAACTGTAACGATAATAATACTAATTGTAATACAATTGATACTATTGTAAAACTTATTAACAACAACAACAACAATTCAAAACATTGACTAATGAGGAAACGGTAGAAATTGGCCAGGTCAAATTTAGTGTAGGTATTACTAAATAAATAATACTTCACTAAATTAATACACATACACACTCACAAATCCTTTATTTAATTAATTAATATAATTTTACACAATTATTTTTCATTAATTTTTTTTGTTATCTTAGTTTTTACATGAAATACGCCAAACATTTAGGTCTCGTACTGTTCACTCGGGTTTTCTATTGTTCATTATCACATATTAATGGTCTACTGTTTGGTTCATCGTTATGGTAATCATTATTTAGGCAAATAATATTGACATCAATACTAGTAGTAGCTACCAATCATCGGCTAATATCTATTTTCACAGGCTACTAACGACTACTACTATTATTTAGTTATTTTTAGTAATTTTAAATGTGGATGCTACTATTGTTATTAAACATTGACCAGCCGTTTGTTTATTGCCTGACAGTATACGTCGGGCCTCCACTATCTACATGGGCAACTGTTGTCGAGTGTAATGCATTCACTGATGAATTACTTTCATAGATTACTAATCGGCCGACTGATGAACTGATTTTGCAATACATCGATGTTATGGATCGATCGCTACTGTTTACTATCAAGTTATTTAATTGATTTAATAATTAATTAATTAATTATATATATATAAAAGTATACAGTATATTATATTATTATATTTATATCTAATTTAAATATAAATATGTACAAATATAAACTTTTTTAATATTACTTTATTATTAATATTATTATTGTTTAACTAACAAAAAAAACAACAACAAAAGTAGCAACAATAGATGCCTTTTTACAATACATTGGTATAATAGTAACGATATCTATTAAAGACTTTCGATAATATTATCCACTGGCACTGGTAGCTGTTATTTTATTATATCCGTAGTTAGGTTAGATTATTTAAACTATATTTATATATTTATTATTAATTATTTTTGTTTTGTTATTTTATTTTTAGTTTATTTATATTAAAAACCCCACGACGGGTAACCCGTCCGGGTAAAACCCCCGTAAGTTATTTAAGTTCGTTTTAATAATAATAATAATAAAATACAATATAAAATAAACTCTATAGCCTAGAGTCGACTACACGACCGCCAATACATTCACATTTTGGTCAAACATTGTTTGGTTTGTTCAGCATTAGGGCCTACAAGTGTAGCCGACTCGGCTTGTAATGGGGAATCCGATAGACGAGTAGATTATCAATCAGATGTGTCTCTATCCTAATGTTGTAGCAGAAACAGTTATCCATAGATTGGGTTGACATCAATCAGCAATTGTCTGTTATTTTTTGCCGCACTGTTTGCCGTACTGGGGAAAGGCAGTCTAATCGGCAGCGATATAGGACTATCCCTATCCTATGCACCTGTCGTTGACACTAATTTTAGACTAGCTTATCAAATCAGCTTCACAGTTGGAAAACAATATGGAATTTCTTGTCGAACGTATTGACGAATACTGTCGGATTGGTGTAACTCCGATTGGCATCGATGTGATGATGACTTCTTGTTAGCCGATAACTGAGCCTCGATTAGGGGATCTCGTTAGGTTTGGAGGGGTATGCCACCAGATATTGGATTGGATTGGATTTGATATTTCAAATTTTATTGATGTCAATATTAAACTGGGAGAGCGTATTGTTATTATTTGAAGTATATTTTATATATAACTTATAAATAAATCTATACCTACTGTATAACTAAAATAAATTATAGTTATCTTCTATAAACATAATATTTAATTACTCTTAAGTAAAATAAAAATATTAATACTAATAATTTTTAGATTTTAAATTATTTTTTAAAAATTACTATACAATAATTCTAAATCACTTATTTAATATTTATTATTTTTTAAATAACAGATATGTATCTGTTGGCCGAACCGGTGCTGGAATCAGTCATCGCTAAACTTTAGCTCTAAGGCTCACTGAACCAGCAATGGGTCGGATAGTCATTGATGGCATAGATTATCGGGACGGTTAGGTCTACACGAGTTGCGCTCTCGGCTAATAATTATACCTAAAGAATCCACACTTATTTTCGGGTACAGCGTTTTCAATTTGGATC